AAATGTCTCACTTAGCAACATAAATTCGGGGTGCTGTTGGGCTCGAGGACTACCTGTGTTCCTGTAACTTGTCAATCAAGTTCAATGAGAGCTGCAGGTAGCAATAAGCAATAGCATTTAGACTTATATATCGCTTTACAGTGCTTTGCAGCCCTCTCTAGGCAGATTACAGAGTCAGCCTATTGCCCCCAACAATCTGGGTCCTCATTTTACCCACCTCGGAAGGATGGAAGGCTGAGTCAACCTTGAGCTAGTTAGGATCGAACTCCTGACAGTGGGCAGAGTTGGCCTGCAGTACTGCATTCTAACCACTGTGCCACCACGGCAAGGGAGGGAGGGAGGAAGGGAGAAAGAAAGAGGAAGGAAGGAAGGAAGGAAGGAGGGAGGGAGGGAGGGAGGGAGGGAGGGAGGGAGGGAGGGAGGAAGGAAGGAAAATAGCAATAGTACTTAGACTTATATACTGCTTCACAGTGCTTTACAGCCCTCTCTAAACCGTTTATTACCCCAAACAATCTGGGTCCTCATTTTACTGACCTCAGAAGGGTGGAAGGCTGAGTCGACCTTGAGCTAGTCAGGATCGAACTCCAGACAGTGGGCAGAGTTGGCCTGCAGTACTGCATTCTAACCACTGCACCACGGCAAGGGAGGGAGGGAGAAGGGAGGGAGGGAGGAAGAAAGGAAGGAAGAAAGGAAGGAGGAAAGGGAGGAAGGGAGGAAGAGAGGAAAGAAGGAAGGAAGGAAGGAAGGAAGGAAGGAAGGAGGAAGGAAGGAAGGAAGGAAGGAAGGAGGGAGGGAGGAGGGAGGGACGGAGGGAGGGAGGGAGGGAGGGAGGGAGGAAAGGAAGGAAGAGCAATAGCAATAGTCCTTAGACTTATATACCGCTTCACAGTGCTTTGCAGCCCTCTCTAAGCACTCTGATCGAGTTTGCTCCCGGCCCTTTCGATCCAGCCGTCTCAAGGATCGTTTCCCACTGCATGCCGACATACCGATCATTCATTAGCACTTGCTTTCAACATGATGGCATGAGTCATCCCTCTCCTTCCATAACCTGGCCTTTGGCTAGCTCTTTGGGTTCCCACTGAATCACTACCAGCTCTTCCACGTCCCTAGTCCCTTAGAGGGATGGTTTGCTTTTAGTTCCCACTGAGTCACGGTCACCTTTCCTTTGCTGTTTCCCCATCTTTCCCAGGGCGTAATTACATACCTTTGCATCCCGAGCACCTGTGTGCCTGAATACAAAACAATCAGTACTAGACTCAGCCAGGGTGTGCATTCATAATCCCCTGGTTTATTATGGAGGTGGCCGTGACTTGAGGATTCAATGGGCGAAAAAAAGAGGGAGAAAAGACAAGATAAGATGAGACAAAACAAGACAGCGCAGGCCCACCAATTTCTGACTCTTTTATTTATAAAGAGTTGGTAGGAACTTGCCAGATTGCTAGAGAACCAATCAGCCACCCCCATCGGCCTTTCTCTGTCAATTAGGCCAGTTGTAAAGGGTGAATGTGTTAGAAAGCAACGAGGGGTCGGAGAAGAACACTCACTCCCCGCCTGCCTTTATTTTTGATGCTAGTAACTTTTGCTAGCAACAAAGTGGACGCGGTGGCTCAGTGGCTAAGATGCTGAGCTGGTCAATCGAAAGGTTCAACAGTTCGAATCCCTAGTGCCGCGTAACAGGGGGAGCTCCCATTACTTGTCCCAGCTTCTGCCAACCTAGCAGTTCGAAAGCATGTAAAAAAAGGCAAGTAGAAAAATAGGGACCACCTTTGGTGGGAAGGGAACAGCGTTTCGTGTGCCTTTGGTGTTGAGTCATGCTGGCCACATGACCACGGAAACATCTTCGGACAGCGCTGGCTCTTCGGCTTTGAAACGGAGATGAGCACCATCCCCTAAAGTCGGGAACGACTAGCACATATGTGCGAGGGGAACCTTTAACTTTTACCATACCTTTATTTGGCGGAGTGGGACAACTCACTGTGGTCAACTCACCAAAGGACAATTCACTGCTGCCAACTCGCTGCAGTCACGGCTGATTCGCTGTGGCCAACTTGCCCCTGATGACTTGCTGCGGCCAACTTCCATGAGACAACTTGCTGCAGGACAATTTAACACGAGATAACTACAGAAATTTTTATATATCCTGTTTCCCTGAAAATAAGACCTATCCCAAAAATAAGACCTAGCATATTTTATGTGTGCACCTAATATAAGCCCTACCCCCAAAATAAGCCCTAGAGTACACTTTTCTCGTGTTAAATTGCCCCACAGCAAGTTGGCGTCAGCGAGTTGTCCTAGACCAGTGATGGCTAACCTTTTCCAGACCGAGTGCCCAAAGCATGCCCAAATCCCCAAATGCAATGTGCGCATGGCCCCCGCACATGCACCCTATCCCCACATGTGTCCTGCCCCCCAGAATGCATGGCAGAGACCCAAAAACCAGCTGGCTGGCGGGAGGCACAGATGCATGCGCAGCAGAGCTGACCTGGGGTGACGGCTCGTGTCCCATCAGAGAGGGCTCTGCGTGCCACCTCTGGCCCAGTTCGCCATCATGGTCCTAGACCCCTGATGGCGAACCTATGGCACGCATGCCACAGGTGGTACTTGTAGCCATATTGGTTGGCATGCGAGCTCAGCACCTTCTGAGCCCACCAGAAGTAGGGAAAGGCCTCGAGGGCCTCGGTGGGTAGTGGGGAAGGCCTGTTTTTCTCTGTCCCCAGCCTCCAGAGCCTTTCTAAGAGTCTGGGGAGGGCAAAAACGGCCTTCCCCACCCCCCGGAGGCCCTCCAGAGGCTGGAAACAACCTGTTTGCCAACTTCCAGTGGGATCGGAAGGCCCATTTCTTTTGCTCTCCCCAGCCTCCAGAGCCTTTCTAGGAGTCTAGGAAGGCCATTTCCGCCCTCCCCACACTCCTAGAAAAGCTCTGGAGGCTGTGGAGAGCAAAAAAACGGGCCTACCATGCCATCACATGCCAGGAGCATGGGGAGCGTTGGGGGGGGGTCACACATGCATGCGTGGGGGCAGAGCACATAGAATTATGGGTGTGGTCACACACGCACATGACCCCCCCACCCTTGGCACGCGATGGCAAAAAGGTTAGCCGTCACTGTCCTAGACTCTTCATTTGATGCTTCAAGGAAATACGGAACCAAATGCATGGTAAACATGGGCGGTCTGAAATGAAACATTTGACAGAAGGAGCAAATTCAGCCTCTTGCACTAAGATGTCGCTCTGCTTACCTGCTGAAGCTTTGCACCATATTACTATCAGTATCTTAGCTAGACAGGGGCTAAATCAGGCTTGTCCAAATTCCCCAGCCAAAGTCATTGGCTGAGATGGGCGTCTATAGAAATGGAATCAATGAAGAAAGGACTAATTACTCTTTCCCTCTTTTGTGTGGCAGTTCCCCTGGTTACTGATTTGCGAGAGTAATTCAAGATGCTCTCCAGACACTGCTTCTTGTCTGCACCACAGTCCCCAGCACACAAATTCTCCTCCAATATTTCAACAGCATGACACTAAATCACAACTAAAATACTACCTTGGCCTCTGCTGTTCCCTGGCTATGTCGCAGCTACAGAGTCACTAAGGTCATATGCATAACAGAATAACAGAGTCGGAAGGGACCTTGGAGGTCTTCTAGTCCGACCCCCTGCGCAGGCAGGAAACCCTATACCAGTGGTGGCTAACTTTTTGCCGTCGGGTGCCAAAAGCAGGGGGAGCGCAAAAGGGTCGCACGCATATGTGCCCACACCCATAATTCAATGCCCCCCATGCTCCAACCCCCCTGCGCATGCATGTGCAACCCCCCCCCACACACACACATACCGTTTTGGGCCTAGCAGGCCTCCCTGAAGCCCATTTCCAGACTTTTCGTAGTCCCCCTTTTTCATCCTCCTCAGGCTCCAGAGGCTTTCTTGGAGCCTGGGGAGGGCGAAAACAGACTCCCCTGTCCCCTAGAGGCCTTCCGGAAATGGCCCGTTTCCCGACTTCCATTGGGCCCGGCAGGCCCGGTTTTCACCCTCCACAGGCTCCAGAAGCTTTCTTGGAGCCTAGGGAGGGCAAAAACAGCCACCCTCCCACCCCAAGGCCCTCTGTAGGCCAAAAACGCCCTCCCAGAGCCTCCGCGGGAGCCCTGTTTTTGGCCTACCACACACACACACCCCACGTCACATTTTTGCCTTCCCCAACCCCCAGGAACATTCTGTAGGCCTCCCAATCCCTCTGCGCATCCCATTTTTGCGAAAAACAGGCCCATTTTTCCAAAGTGGAACACGCAGAGGGTTCGGGAGGCCTGCAGAGTGCTCCTGGGGGCTGGGGAGGGCAAAAACTTTTTTTTCTTGTTTACCTCTTCAAAATCTTGGTGTGTCTTATACTCCGGTATGTCTTATAGTCCGAAAAATACGGTACCTGTAAACCTTGTGCTAAGAAAGGATAAAAATTCCTGCACCAAGAGGAGGAAAAATTGTATATTACAGCTGTGCACATGATGTACGTAAGAACATTTCCCAAATAAAGACTTGGCCAAAAATGCAAAATATGGGGAGAATTGCATCTTTCATTTGAGACCAAGAACGCCTTGACAAGTGTTGCCTGTTCAGCTTCGCGCGCCCGTCGGCGAGCACGAGAAATAAATGCTTTAATGTTAACAGAAATACCCAGGAAGCTGCATTCAAACATTACAACCTAACAAAGTGTAACATTGTTCCTCATGTTTCTGCCTAACCTTGAATCTTGACTGCCGTCGCCTATTCAGACAGCCGGGCAGGTTGTAAACACATGTGTAGTCCTATTAGTGGAAAATTCCTTTCTATTGAGCATAAGCCACAACTGTGGTTGAACAGGTTTTAGTTCCCAGCCGTTTTTTTTTTTTCTCCCTTCCCGTCTCCTGGGAAAAAAAAAAATTCTCAGCCCTATGGCATCTGCTCAGATCACATGGGTAAGTAGAGTACTTATAAATTACGCTAACCTGCTCACACCAGTTAGAACTTCTAAGATCTTCCATCCAGTCGCTTGGGCCTCCGGTTCACTGAGACAGATCCAGACGAGAGGAAGAGGCATTGTCCGTGTGCCTCGGAGCTCTGCTGTAGAGGTAACACCTATGGCTTTCGCAGCAAATCTCTTGGGGTTTCCCCTTGTAGAAAACAGAAATGACCAGAATTATTGCTACCTGAGGCGTGCTTTTTTGTGCATGTGTGTGTGTGTGTATGCATGGGAAACGTTGCGGCACACAATTTGAAGCAATGTCAAGCTAGAATCCTGGAAACGGGCTCGGAACAGCTGCATTGCAAATACCTTCCTCCGTTGGAGGGGTGCAGTTGTCATGCTGTTGGGAACGATGGGAGCTGTAGTCCGGGAGGTCTGGAAGACCTTGGCCTATGGGTAAAAGGTAAAAAGGTTCCCCTCGCACATATGTGCTAGTCGTTCCCGACTCTAGGGGGCGGTGCTTATCTCCGTTTCAAAGCCGAAGAGCCAGCGCTGTCCGAAGACGTCTCCGTGGTCATGTGGCCAGCATGACTTCACTTCCCCACCAAAGGTGGTGCCTATTTTTCTACTTGCCTTTTTTACGTGCTTTCGAACTGCTAGGTTGGCAGAAGTTGGGACAAGTAACGGGAGCTCCCCCTGTTACGCAGCTCTAGGGATTCGAACCGCTGAACTGCCGACCTTTCGATTGACAAACTCAGCGTCTTAGCCGCTGAGCCACCACGTCCCTTTTATGGCCCATGGGAGACCGTTTTAAATTTTGGATATTTCCCAACAGATGCTAACCCTCGCATAGAAAATTGCATATTTTTTTTCCCTGTGACTGTTTCTGTTGCAAAGTTTCAGGAATTCGGTTTTCTGCTTCAGCTAGAAGCTGGATTAAATGATCTGTCACTCATTCTATTATTGTCTTCCTAAACTTTATAATTTGTTCCAGTTTATCCTTACTATGTTCTCTATGTTGTCCAGGAACAAGGTAGTGAATTATTCCCCCATACAGTTAGTCGTCGACTTATATCCACAATTGGGGCTGGAATTTCCATTGATAAGCAATCCACTGCACCTGATTTTTTGACTTTTTTTGCTGCAGTTGTTAAGCAAATCACTGCAGTCGTTAAGTGAATCGTGTGGTTATTAAGTGAATCCAGTCCTTCCCTCCTCCTCATTGACTTTCCTTATTGGAAGCTGGCTGGGAGGGTCCCAAATGGTGATCATGTGACCCCAGGATGCTGTAACCATCATAAATACATGCCAGGTGTAAAGCACCTGGATTTTGATCATGTGACCATGGGAATGCTGTGATGGTCATAAGCGCGAGGACTGGTTATAACTCACTTTCTTCAGTGTCATTGTAACTTTGAACAGTCACTAAACAAATGGTTTGTAACAGGGATGAAATGCTCCCGGTTCGGACCGAATCGCCCAAACCTGTAGCGATGGAGGCGGGTGGTTCGGAGAACAGGTAGCAAAAATCCCTGCCCCCCCCCCGCCCCCCCATTGTCCAGCTGAGCCGCGCAATCATCAGAGGCTTTTTTAATTATTTTTAAAAGCAATTTTTCTACAACCTCTTTGGCCAGAAAAAATACTTTTAAAAGTTAAAAAAAAGCCTCTGATGCTCACGAGGCTCAGCTGGGATCATCAGAGGCTTTTAAAAGCATTTTTTCTACAACCTCTTCGGCTAAAGAGGTTATAGAAAAAATGTTTTTAAAGGGAAGAAAAGCCTCTGCCGATCAGGCAAGTCAGCTGGGATCATCAGAGGCTTTAAAAGCATTTTTTTTTTACAGAAAAAATATTTACAGAAAAAATATTTCTACATTTTTTGTAGAAAAAATGGTTTTGAAAGTAAAAAAAAAGAAAGTTGGCCACCCCCACTCAGTCATATTACCCTCACCACCACCAAGTCATGCCCACAGAACCGGTAGTAACAAATTTTACATTTCATCACTGGTTTGTAAGTCTAGGACTAGCTGTACGGTTAATAAACAAGGCACCAATATAGGCGCCTAATGTCAAATTAATAACCTATTGTCCTGTTTGAACAATAGGCCATTAATTTAGACAATGGGATCAAACTTCTATTCTGTTCTTATTTATTCATTCATTTACTGTCCATTTTTCTGCAATCCAAAGACTCTAGTCAGTTTACACAGAATATAATATAATAATATGTCCAGATTTCATATTATACGTAAGCCTTATTGCTTACAACATTTTATTGTTGATTGCTTTGGATGAAAAGTTCTTTGTTATGCATAAAATGGCGATGATTTCAATGTTTGTAAAGAGATTAAATAGAAATCTATCTCATGCTGTTGCATAACTTACCTGTTAGACATAATGTAAATATTTTTTTTAAAAAAAAATTGGCTTAATATTTGGCTTTTGTATGAATCTCTTGGCATCTGATTGAATCTATTGTGCTAATTTAATAAACCGTGGCTTAACATTTGTTTAATGAAGAAGGCCTTGGTCTAAGACAGTGAGTCTTAGTCAGTGAGGTAATTGGTAGGTTTAATTTCTGAGCAATCTTCAAAGCTGATCTCTTTAGAAATGCTGGACTACAATGACCATTGTCCCCAGCTCTCAAGGTGACTCACATCTTTGGAAAGTGCTCTCTCAGGTACACTAAGGTCTACTACAGGGGTCTCCAACCTTGGCAACTTTAAGACTTGTGGATTTCAACTCCCAGAGTTCACAGTTGAACTGCGAGTTGAAGTCCACAAGTCTTAAAGTTGCCAAGGTTGGAGACCCCTGGTCTACTAGATCTGCTTCTCTTTGACCAAGCAGCCACCAGCTTTAGGCTGCAATTCTCAGAACTAGCCACAGAGACTTAGAAATTTGACAATTGCTGTCTCAATTCATTTGGAGAATATCAGGTTACAGCCAATTCCATAAAGCACCACCACGATCCATGGTGTCCCTATTGTAGCCTTCCTAGCTGGAGGTCCAGATTGTTGGCTGACTACAGTCATATTTCAAAATACGTAGACAAATCTGCAAAAGTATGAAATCCTACAAAGTTCTTATGTAATGATCAAGAAGGCCGCCATGTTAAATAGAAGCAATATCCCATAGGACGGACCCTCACAACTCTAAGATTTGTGGGCTTCAACTCCCAGAATTCTGGTGGTTGAAGTCCACAAGTCTTAAAGTTGCCCAAGATTGGACATCCTTGCTATAGGACAGTGATGGCTAACCTTTTTGCCATCGCGTGCCAAGAGTGGGGGGTGGGGGTCGCATGCGTGTGTGCCCACACCCATAATTCTATGTGCCCTGCCCCCACGCATGCACGTGTGACCCCCCCCCCACACTCCCCATGCTCCTGGCACGTGATGGCACGGTAGGCCCGTTTTTTGCTCTCCCCAGCCTCCAAAGCCTTTCTAGGAGTGTGGGGAGGGCAAAAATGGCCTTCCTAGACTCCTAGAAAGGCTCTGGAGGCTGGGGAGAGCAAAAAATGGGCCTTCTGGTCCCACTGGAAGTTGGCAAATGGGCTGTTTCCGGCCTCTGGAGGGCCTCCAGGAGGTGGGGAAGACCGTTTTTGCCCTCCCCAGACTCCTAGAAAGGCTCTGGAGGCTGGGGAGAGCAAACAATGGGCCTTCTGGTCCCACCGGAAGTTGGCAAATAGGCTGTTTCTGGCCACTGGGGGGCCTCCAGGGGGTGGGGAAGACCGTTTTTGCCCTCCCCAGACTCCTAGAAAGGCTCTGGAGGCTGGGGAGAGAGAAAAACGAGGCCTTCCAGAGGCAGGAAACAGCCTATTTCCCTACTTCTGGTGGGCTCAGAAGGTGCTGAGCTCGCGTGCCAACCAATATGGCTATGCGTGCCACCTGTGGCATGCGTGCCATAGGTTTGCCATCACGGCTATAGGAGAAATAAGTGTCCCTCAGGTTCGTTTCTGAAGCAGCCACAGTACCTCTTCGATGGCTACATTTCCAGAGTAAAATGGCTTCCTTCCTTCTTCCCAAAGAGTTCTAGTGTCTCTAAACTTATCAGATGTTTTTGGTTGTGAACAAGAGGGCAACTGCAGCGGCGTAAAACCAAGAGACAAGAAGGCACAAACAAATATGATGCAAAGACTGAGAAAGGATTGCTCAACAAAACGCACTTCTAGTAATTCTATTTCCCCAGGGCCTTAGACATCCCATGCTGAATTGTTTACAGTTGCCAGAAAGGACTGGATATAATAAACTGTAATTAGTCTTTTTCAAGCCCACAATTCTGGGCTGATATCCCAGGCGCTGAAAACTCTGACTGCATAAAATTATGCCAAGTCATAAGACCTGAGCGCTCTTCTAATACCAGGGAGTAGAGAAGATAATTCTGTAGAAACACACAGCCTCCAACCAGCATCAAATCAGCTGTTGGGAAGAGCCATGCTCATTTTGTAATCTGTAGAAGCTGGTGTTGTTTCGAGAGATCTCTTTTGCCCTCCTCATCTCACTCTTGCCACATCAGGTAGTCGCCAGGAATTTTAGACTCTCTTTTTCCTCTTGCCAAACTATCCGTGGCACCTTAGAGCTACCACTCAGTTGGTCAAGTCTTGCTGTCTGACTCAACCATCAGCGTGGAAAAACAAAGTCGACTTAGGAGACTGAAAAAAGTTTCCATTGGTTGCAATGTTTATTTATATGTCCCAAGATGCTGAGCATTCCATGCTGGAAATAACTTTCTGATGAAAATTCATATCAGGAAGACTGGATGTCTCCAACCCAAGTCTTTTGCAAGCTTTTGGAATAGAACATCCAGTCTAAGGAAGTTGTGCTTTTCTCTGAGCTTAGTCGCTTGTTTGCAGATGTTTCTCTATCTGAATAGGTCACATCTTCAGTGCTGGTGAGTGTGGGGTTTGTTCCTTATGTCTACACAGTGGCTTGCTCTGCCAGTATTGGTGGGGTGTGGCTTCATTTTAGTAGTGCCTTGATTATTTTCTATGATAGTTTGTCTGGTGTTAATCCCTGCTTCTCTGGGTATTGGTTGCTGGAGAAAATCCGTTCTGTTTGCTGTTTCTTTCTTAGCTTTTTTTTTATTATCTCTTTTGAATGACGTGTAAATGTTGTTTAACTTTATGTGTCTATTGATGGCTGAAGTTCTATGCCAGCACTTCATGAAGATACT